GAAGGTAAGCTCTCCATTGCCAAACTAATTTTATCCCATGAGTTTTGCAAAAGAATTCTTGGCTGCACCTATAAGTAAATGTCCACAAATTCTAGAATTTGGATCTTCAAAGAAAAAGGGGAGGGGGGAGAGACAGAAAACCGTAAATTGTCTCTTGTTCATTTTACAATACTTCTAATCATAACACAATACAATTTTCTCAAATACATAATTTCCATTCACCTGTAGAGATTTATTCAGAAAGTCTCCTCCCACAATTTTTACTGTGAAAAAGGAATGCAGAACATAGCTTGCCTACAAAGCAATATATCTAAAAAAATCTGCATGTATTTACAGTCATTCAAACTGACCATCATGATACTAAAAATGTATCACTACTCTTTTCTTTGTTTTAAAACATAATATAAATCCATTTTCTATTTCCAGCTACTGAAGCTTGTTACCTTAATGTCATACTATTTATACTCTCAGACAAGAAAATATAATTTGGCTTATTCAAAGGCAATTAAAATGTTACAACTACAATTACTTATTTCCCCACAGGATTTTGGTAATCATCCTTCTCACATAATGGGCTTAAGGTCCCTGCATATCCAACATGGTCTGTTTACTGCTAGATTCATCAGGCCTGTAATTCATAATTGTGTTTAATGTTGATAAATAAAATTGTCAGTGCTTTTTCTACTAATTAGTATTCCAGATAATGCTTAATAGGTTTATTTATGCCTTAATAAAAGTCGTGTAATTTAGTTTTCCCTCTGCTAGGCAGGTCTTAATCTGTCATTACTTGTCTTATGATACTATCTGGGTAAAATGACAAGCAAAGAGAGATTATTTAAATTCAGTAATATACTGTTCTATATTTCAAGTGGCTCTGATTTCATAGTTAATTTAAATCTTGTGGTTACATCAAAAGCACACAAAAAAGTATATTTATCCAATAAAAATGTTTTATAATTCTAAGAATGCATATGGTTCAACACTAAAATGCAACATTGAGAAGGTGATTGGTCAATATCTTCTGTCATAAGCAACCATTTCACTGAAGCCCAGTGTTCAAAATTTTGAGTGTTTTATTTCTTTTATTCCTCAGTATATAAAAGAAAAGGTTTTTTTAAATTTATGCACAGTCAGAATTTGAAAACTATATTGCTTATAAGTTATTCATAAAATGTACATTATTAATTGGATAAAAGTATATCTTCCATGTAGAATTTGTTTCTATCAGTTACTGATGCAATGACTTCTAAGAATATGGGGTAATCCTATCTAATAAAATATTAATATGCAAATTAACCATCACTCAGACACAAAGATGGCGGCACCCAGTCCTCTCAGCCCCACTGGAGTCCTCCAATCCTGGGGGGTGGCCGCTGAGAGCAGGGCCTGCTTGGCTGTCGCCACGGTGACCCGGGAGCAGCCAAGTGGGCCCTGCAGACAGAGCACTGCAGGGCCTGCTTGGCTGTCACCGGCAGCGACCCAGGAGCAGCCAAGCAGGCCCTGCAGACAGCAGAGAACCACGGGGAACAGGCCTAAGCCATCAGTAGGACATCTCCTGAGGGCTCCTGGATTGGAGAGGGTGCAGGTCGGGCTGAGGGCCTCCCCCCTCCACCCCCTGTGCACGAATATTGTGCACCAGGCCTCTAGTAAGTTTAATAATACTAAACTACAGCACACATTTAATAGGTCACTATTGAATAAATGAACAAACAGTGAATTTTATTTTATCTATAATACTAGAGGCCCGGTGCACGAAAATTCATGCATGGGGGGAGGGGTACCCCTCAGCCCAGCCTGCCCCCTCTCACAGTCTGGGAGCCCTCACAGGATATCCTACTGAAAGGATATCCATGGGGAGTGGGCCTAAGCCGCAGTCCGGCCTCCCTCTGCAGGAGGCAACCAGCCAATCAGGTATATAGATACTTTCTGGAGGCAGCACGGACTCCTTCCTTATTTCTTCCCTCTGTGGTTGGAGAACAGGGGACTAAAAGGTGGAGACAGAACTGTGGCCAGGCCTGGGGCTTTTGTAGGTGGCAGAAAGAGGGAAAGGTCTGGGGAAAGTCTAGACACATTTCCTTCGATTGTCCTCCCTTCCTCCGGGCCCCTCCCTCCGTTTTTTCCTTCTCGTGGTGGACACTTGGGCCTCAGACCAACCAGAGCCCAGCAACAGTGGGGTTCAGCCCCCTCACTTCTCAGCTGAATGTACAGCCACCTCACATTCCAAGCGGGGCTGTTTTCAAGTGACTAAAGCACTGGAAATCCACAGCTCCCGGCCTCTCCCCTCTTGGTTTCCTACTTGGATTGGTTGCAAGTTCACCAAGACACCGAAGCAGCTCTGCCCTGGTAGTTCTGCACTGGCCCCCGCCTAGGCCCCACCGGGCACTCCTCCTCGAGTCTCCAGGCCCACAGTCTGCCCTCAGGGAGGTCGCCTGGAGCCCATTCCCCCGGGCAGGTGGGGCAGAGGAGTTGGCTTAGAGAGCTGGAGGAAGATGGCAGAATAACAGCTGGTATGAACCAGCGCCTGCTCAGCCAGACTTACTAAGCTCCCCACCAGGCCCAGGCCGGGCCCCTTCCCTGCACCCAGGGCCCTCCTCCCCTTTCCACTACCAGGGGCTGGAGCAGCTCACCTGTGCCACCCTGGCCGTGAACCTCCTCCTCCTGCCTGAAGCATGGGGCAGGGCCCGTGACCAGCCACGGAGGCAGGCGTGGGGCCGGGGGAGGGCAGGGCGGGGCACCCGACAGTCTGTCCACGGCCACTCCGGCTCCAAGCCACCGGGCTCCCTCCGAGCAGCAGCAGTGGCGCAGCAGCCCACGGCAAGGCCCCGCGCCCCTCGCAGCCGCCCCAGGGCACCCGCTGAGCCACCGTCCGGCTGGGACCTGCGGCGGCTGGGGTGGCCTCGGGCTCCCACTAGCCCTGCCAAAGCTGGACTTGGGCTTGGCTGGCTGCCCCCATCCCGGCCCACCAGTCAGGAGCGGCCTCCGCCTCCAAGGCAGTGTGTAGTTAGCGCTGGGCAGGCTTGTGCACACCTGCGCTGGGGGCGGAAGTCCCCGCCCACATCCCCGCCCACCAGCTTCTGCCTGGTTGTGACTCGGACACCTTAACGAACAAATTAGCATATTACCTCTTTATATGTATAGATTCAACATAATACATCAGTCCACTGTATTTCTTGTTTCTCTAACTGGCTTGTAACTCCTTATCTGTGTCTTTTTTCAACTTAGTAAACTCATTTTATCTTTACTGTGCCAGCCTAGCATATGTTTTTATTTGTTTGCTGGATTAATTATATTTCTTCTTTACTTCCATAGCAGTTACAATAATGCTGAATACAAGAATGCATTCAATAATACCAAGAGAAATTAATATTAACATTTTATGGTATGTCAAAGTTATTCTTCCTAAATAAACAAGATAAAAGCATAGTTTTAGGAAATTTTCAGGAATATAAAAATTAAATTTTCACAAAGAGCCCTAAAAGCAAATTTTAACAACAATTAAATTTTAATGAATAATATGGGTGTATGTTTTTTTACAATATCACAGAAATGTGTTTGTGTAGACACCAACCACTATGAAAGGTGAAATTAAGTGACAATATAATTCTATAAGGTATTGCTCTGAATTTTGAAGAAGTGGGAAAGAGGCATACATTCCAAGTTCCAGACTACTGACTCTCCATGAATTACAGAAAGAGCACTAAATAATTTATGCTTTGCTGAGTAACAAGTGTTTTCACAATATACATTATACAGTATTAAGTACAATTAGTTCAACTTTTTTTGTTATTAATCCTCACCCGAGATATTGTCCCCTTGATTTTAGAGAGAGTGGAAAGGTAGGGAAGAGACAGAGAGAAACATTGATGTGAGAGAGACACATCAATTGGTAGCCTCCTGCATACACCCCAACCAAGACCAGGGATCGAGCTTGCAACTGAGGTAAGTGCCCTGGACCGAAATCAAACCTGGGACCCTTCAGTCCACAGTCCAGTGCTCTTCCACTAAGCCAAACTGGCTAGGGCCAATTAGTTTAATCTATATATATAAAAAGCTAATATGCTAAGTGTCCAACTATCTGCCAGTCGCTATGACGCGCACTGACCACCGGGGGGCAGATGCTCAACGCAGGAGCTGCCATGACGCACACTAGTCATTTACAGAGAAATGGCACCACAGACCTGGCACCCACAAAGCAACACTCCGCTTCCCCCAAGTGGGACACAGGCCCTGCCACCACCCCAGAGCAACAGCCCACCAAATCACAGCCAATGCTGCCAAGACCCCATGGTGCAAAATGCGGCCCACAGCCCAGCTCAGCCCAGCCCAGCTGGTAAGCGGTCTCTAAGGGGTAGAGATCAACCAAAGGACTTGTATGCAAGCATATAGGCCTAACCAATGGACACAGACAACAGGGGGGTGAGGGCATAAGTGGGGGGGGGTGGAGGGTAATGTGGGGATAAGGACACATATGTAATAACTTAATCAATAAAATAAATAAATAAAAAGAAAAGAAAAAGAAAAAAAAGGTACAAATGATATAAAGCAAAGTCTGCCTCCTAACCTTGTTCCCCTAGCCATCTGGTTTCCCTTCCCAGAGGCAAACAATGATATCAACTTCTATTGTATATTTTCAGATAAAAACATTACAAAAATAAGAAGAAGAAGAAGAAGAAGAAGAAGAAGAAGAAGAAGAAGAAGACGACAAAAGAAAATTTAATACATTAATGTGGCTCCCAAAATAGACACTAGTACCTTAAATCCTAGTAATGATACATGCTCCCCTTGTAGTGTTTCAGTTTAAGTTATAAGTGAAGTTGCATAAATAACAAAATCCTCTGTGCAAATAACAAACTTTACTGTGCATATAAATCATCTGAGGGGCTTGTTAAAATGCTGATTCCGATTAATTAGCTCTGGAGTGGAGTCTGATATTATGCATTTCTGACACATCCCCAGTTAATGCTGATGCTGCTGGTCCAGGGACCACACTTGGAGTAGCAAAGCTCTTTTTATTATTTGTGAGGATTCAATAAAGCCTTAAAACTTACAAATATAGCCCTGGCCAGTGTTGCTCAGTGGAAAGAGCGTCAGCCTGCAAACTAAA